GGTGGTGAGAGCTTTCTGATTTTTTTTATTCTTCCATCACCTACAGAATACCAGGTCACAGGTAGGAGGAATTCTCAGTGCTGAGACTCAGCTCTCAGTGTGATGGTTCTGTTTTGCACGTTAGTACCAAATACTACGTGGAAAAATTATTCTGTTTAGAAAAGCATCAAACCTACCTCCAGAGAACAATGCATCCAGACCATGCTCTGGCATTTCTGAAGTGCCTTCATACTCCTCAGACTATAATGCTATGAGTGACTTTTTGTCTGTCAAATGCTGCAGACTTCTCCCTTTGCACCTGCTCATCAGCAGTGTCTGGGTTTTTGGTCCTCCTATCGTGTTACAATTTGCTTTTAAGCCTTTTCTCATAGAAAATGAGGGCTATTGCTGGGCAAACTCTGGTTCACAAATTCTGCAGGCTTTGTTCATTTACAAGTCAAAAGGCTAAATGAAATTGGGTTGGGACAATAAGCATGCAGGGGATGGTGGAAGATAGCATCTTGGCAGTGAGCCCTCCCTGGCTGAGCTGCACACAGCAGTGCCACAGATCAGCTCTGTGTGCCAGGGTGCTCCTGCTGTGCCCTCAGGCCCTCCGTGGGAGCTTCCCACCCAGTTCAGTCTTCAGGGGGGCAGCAGGTTTCTGATTTGGGCAGCTATTTAGTTTTTAAAACTAGAAATGTCTTCCAAAGGCAGCCTTAGCTGTGAGAGTGGAGGGGATGGGGATGAAGGGCAGGACACTCCCTTTGCCCTGCTTCCCTGCAGCACCCAGCAGGGTCAGGGGTTATGAGCTCTGGGCTCTTGCTCCTTGCTTGCTGCTCCTCTCACACCACAGGCTTTGGCCGTGTTTGAGGCACCTTTCAGCTCTGTGCTGCTGTCACCTCCAGCACATCACAGCACAGCTGTGCTCATGCACCACTCAGCTGGGTTTGAGGCTGGGGAAAGCACAAATCAGGTTTCACAGCCTTGCTCCTAACACAAACCCAGCTCTTCCTCTGACTGCCTGAGCCATCAGGAACTCGGGGACTCTCCCAAGACTTGGAGTTAGCAGAAATCCTGCTTCTCTGCTTCTTGCATCAGCTTTGGGGTAAGGTGTGTCCTATAGCTCTGACATTAAGCTTTTCTGGCATGTGGAGCTTGCATAGAATGGAGGATGTGAGTTATTGCTTTCCAGGGAATACTCTGTGTTTTTTTCCTTTTTATTATTTTTTTAAGTCAGAAGTCTCCATTACTCCGACAGAAAGGAAAGTGAGCAGGTTTGCATTGTCTCTGCCACATTTTCCCTCCCCACCTGCATGCAGGGAACAGGGATACCAACAAAGTTCCTACCCTGTAGCTGTGTGCTAAGCAGGGAAAAGCTGTCCCTGCTGCTCCCAGCTGGATGTGGCACTTGCAGAGGTAACAGGAAAGCAACCAAGGGAAAAGTTTTCCAATCTTCTGTTTGCAGATTGGAAAACCAAACATGTTCTTTGTAATCCTGAGCCCTTTTCTACTTTTTCCTAAAGTTCAGTGAGATATTTTGCAAGTGCTTGCAGTTTAAGTCACCCTGCTGCTCTGGGGTTTTGCCAGCAAAGCTTCACCTGTGTGGGGAAGGAGTGGGCACTGGGCTCTGGGGCACAGCACAGCTCCAGGTCACATCCTGCTCCTCCCTGGGAGATGGGAGCACACAGGGACTGGTGGGTGAGAACAGCTGCACCATTCCCCGTGGGGAGAAATATTAATGCCATTTCAAATGAATTGTGTGCTTGAGATAAATTACCTCCTGCAAGCCTGTTGCCTCAGAACTTGTATAGCTTGTATTTAATAGGATTGACAAGGTGTTCAGGCTTCTCCAAAACAGGGAGAGATTTAAACACGTGAAGGAACAACAAGTTCTCGTCTTCTGTGGCAGTCTGGGTTTCTCTTATGTGCAATTAGAGACAGGCCCCAGAGTGACTGAGGGGCTGTGTGGCTCTGAGTCCACAGCTGAGACAAATTCACATGTGCTGTGCAATTCCTGAGCATGCTGAGTCCCTTGCTCTGGGCACAGCTGGGCAGAGGAGGCACAGAAAGCCCCTGGCCCACCTGGAATTTTGGGATGTGGTGCAGAGAGTGTAGCCCAGCCAGGGGCAAGGGGCTGGGGTGTGTACTCATCCCCAGGCTGGGGAGCCACAGCCAGAAAGGGCTGTGAGGAGAGACCAGAGCTCAGGAGAGAGCAGCTCAGGAGAGCAAACAGCCTCCCACAGCAGTCCCAGGTGTGAAGGGCTGGAGCACGGCTCCTGCAGCACGCCCAGGGTCCCTGGCAATGGGCAGCTGCCAGGAGGGCACACCCAGCCTGCACAGAACCCCCCTGAGGGCAGCACCTGCAGGTCCAGGTGAGGCCGAGGGTTGGGAGGGCTTTGCACCAGGACAAAGGCAGGCAGAGCCCTGAGGGTACAGGGCTGGCTGTGCCTTGGAGCTGCTCTGACCCTCGCAGAAATCTGGCTCATCTTGGGCAGTGATAATTGAAACACTCAAATTATTATTCTCTCTCCCCACTTCTTCTTCATATCCAATCTGCATTTCCCCCTCTATGCTCTAATTAAAAACCAAATGAGAGAGAGAGGAGGAGGAAACTAATAATGCCAGATACACATTTGGCTTAGAAAAAAGAAAAGCACACTCTAATGTGTTTGAGGACAATAAGGAGGAAATGATTCACGCTTAATAAACCTCTTTGCTGTTAATCTCTGTTAACCTAAGGATTCTGTTGCTTTATTGGAAAGTCTTCTCACTTTCTGTTGTGTCATTGAAAATAAAGAACTTCCATTATTGTTTTTTGCAGGGGTTATTTGTTGACCCTTCTGCCTCTGCAGCACTGGGGTGTTGTGGAAACTGGGCAGCTTGGCTGCTGTTATGGCAAGAATATTTTGTCACTGTTGTGAGCCTTCCCCTTGCTCCCTGCAGCCCTGGGAGCTCCCAGGGCACACAGCTGTGTCACGGGAGGTTGCTCACAGCTCCAGGCATTGGCAGGAAAGGCTGTTGGGCTCACCTGCCTGCTAAGATGAGATCTGCTGGCAGAGGGGATCCTGGGCAGGCTCCTGCCTCCGAGGGGCTGAGGATGAGTGTGTGCTGGGCGTTCTGGAAAGGACCCCGGAGCCAAACAGCCTCCTGCCGCCTGCCAGGAGTGGGAGTGCAGCGGATGGATGTGGCCAGCACGCTGCCTTCAGACCCTGTTCTTCCTGCACGATGCACAGGCTCCCACAGCCTGCTCATCCGTGGAGCAATGCCCAGAAATGGATGTTCTGCTGCTGAAATCGGAGAGGAGCAAGGGGCAGGATGGATATTGCCGAGAATCGCTCACGCTTAGCGATTTTCTGTCCAGCTGCATCATCTTTCACCCCCTCCCGTGTGCCGGGCCTCCAATACCCAAAGATTTGTCCCTTTCCTATGCGGCCGGTGGCAGGAAGCACTGTCCCTGGTTCCGTCCCTGGTTCCGTCCCTGGTTCTGTCCCTTCTGTCCCTTCTGTCCCTGGTTCTGTCCCTGCTCTCCCTGTTTTTCTCAAGCTGCTGTGTTGGCAGAGGCTGGGTGACTCCTCCTGGGTGTGACCGGTGGCTCAGGGGCACAGGTGCCACCCTGTGACCTGCCCACCTCCTGAGGTGCTGCTCAGGGGGCTGACTCCAGGTGAGGGAAGGGAAGGTTTAAAGGCAGGAAATGAGGGGGGAGAGCAGCACCAGAGGTGGCAGGGCATGTGTAAGAAGAGAAAAATTATATTTTTGGGAAAATTTAGTGTCAGGACCAACATGTAGCACAGCAGCTGATGTGCCTTTGACTCCTGAAGCAATTCCCAGGAGATGTGCTCTCACTTAGTCTGGGTGAGGGCTCTTCCCCTCACTGCAACCTGCAGGTCTTCCCTGCTGACCCAGCTGGCCCCAAGTGGCAGAGCAAGCCAGCACCCCTGACTGAGATGTCCACAGGAGCCTCAACCCTTGATTTGATACCAAATCCTTCAAAGGAGATTTCCCTGTGGTTTTAATACACTGGGGCTTTTAACTCCAGCAGGAGTTTTGTCTTATTATTTCTGTATATCAAACCATGTTTCTGAAATATATTCATTTTCTTTCTGAGGGAAAGCTATTTTAAAGTCAGAGCTGGATAAAAATTAAAGCATGAACATTGCCTGACTGGATTGTAAGTACTTTATAAGGTATTTAGAGTGAAACCAGTACAGCTGCACAACATCATTCACTGCTAATGCAATCAATACCTTCCTCTTGCAGTGTTGTTAGAGGCACATTTCTCTGGTTCTGGCCACTGATTTTTGAAATATTCTTTGCCGATTTCTCACTGTGTTTATTTGGCAATTATTTTAGTTATCTCAAAATCAGATTTTCAAATCAAGCAGTTTCCTCCCTCTGTGATTGCTATGAAAATTACACTTGGAAAATCAAAGCTTTCAGAGATCATTTTACTTTCATCTCTTGTTTTTGATGAGGTCCTAGCACATCAAAAATCCACACTCGGAGACGTCCGTCTCTGCTCAAACATTTAGAATAAGAGAGGCCTTCATGGTGCAGAGGAGTGCAGGCAGGATCCTCCTGGAATTTGGGGTGAGGACCCAAATTATGTCTGAGCTGGGGATGCTGGGCTGGGGCCTCTCCGGGCACCTCTGCTGGCACTGAGCACAGCCAGGGCTGCCAGGAGCTGGCACTGACACAGAGATCCTGCAGGAGCACGTTTTCCACAGGAGAAACCCCAAGTGGAGAGGATTCGGTGCTGGTCTGCCAGCAGCCAGAGGTCACCAACCCTCTAAAGGCTTTCTGGAGCTGGGGGCATTAAATAATTCAGCAGTCTTTCCATCCAACCTCATGGAAAATTTTTTCATGTGCTAAAAACTTCTCCAGACCACCACCAGTAACTGAAATGATGAGAGGAACCCAGCCTGAGCACTAACACTGTGGCAAGAATTAATTAAAAAAATCGCATGAAGAAGCAGCCCCCCTGGCAGAAAATTACATTTAATTGTTTTTTTCCTACAATTTAGAATGCAAGAAGTGAGGAGATGCAAGAAGGCTCTCGCTGGAGGTTCAAAGAGCTGCTCATGTAAAGGATCAATAGATCCAGCACTGCATTTAGTGTCATACTAAATGCTGGACCAGGCAATTATTTCGATTCATCACGGTGGTAAGTGAAGCATCAAAAGGACAGAAAATTATTCTATTTTCTTGTTTCTTATGTAACCAAAATATTTCATCTTTAGAGGCAGTTATGTTATAGATTGCTATTCTGCTCCTGACAGGCATTGCAAATGGTTTGTTAATTCAGTGCTAGTTTTACCAGTCTCTGATCCAGGGGTATCTGTGCCATGGGGACCCTTCCAGTGGCACACGTGGCCTTTGGGACACCACTCTGGGGTATCAGGGTGCAAATGCTCTTCCTAGTATCACAGGGAAAACTCCTGTAGGCTCAAAAGAACCAGTTCTGCAGTTGGCTCCATCTTACCTTAACAACAAAAAGATGAAGGTCTAAATTTACTCATGGTAACGAATTAGATAACCAATGTATGATGTGTGCTCAGCCTCTGCTTCAAAGCTTTGCCAGCTCTCTGCTCACTGACAGCAACAGCCAGGCCCAAAGAGAGCCTGCAGTGGAGGCTCGTGCACTTTCTGCCCTGCTCTGGGAGTAAAAGCAGCAGCTGCTGGTGCCATCCTCACCATTCCAGGTGCCAGGAGCTTGGGAGCTGCACAGCTCCCCACGCCAGGGACTCGCCAGCCCTGCTCCTTCCGCCGAGACAAACTGAGGCAGGATCCTGGGACTAATGCTGGCCTGGGTGTGGCAGTGCTCTCTCTCTCTCTCTCAGGATTTTTCATGGAGGAACACAGAAGAGAAAGAGAAAACCATTTCTATTTCTGCTCCTTGTTTTTCCCATGGGGAATGTGTTTGGAGAATTGTTTACCTGGGGTGATTGCTTGGTTGGATTCTGGTGAGGATTGTTTGAGCCTGGTGGCCAATCCAACCCACCTGGGGCTGGGCTCTCAGAGAGGGATACGAGTTGTGAGGAGTTAGATTTGGTAGTTAGAAAAGTAGGTTTGTAGTTTTAGTATCTCCTTTAAATAGTATATTAATGTATTATAGTATAGTTATAATAAAGAAATCATTCAGCCTTCTGAAGTGGATCAGACACCATCATTCCTTCCCACCGGTTCTCCTGCATTTACAACACCTGAGTGGAGAGTGGCTTCACAAGCAAGGCCTGTTCCAGGAGCCTGCAGCCCCTTGCAGCCTCAGGAGGGGATGTGGAAGCCAACCAAGTGAGATGCTGAGGGAGCCCCACTGTGGGGTTCCAGGTACCTTGTGAAGAGCCCAAGGAATCCTGTTCTTTCCAGGGTCCTTGTGGTCTCAGATGCCTGCAGAAATGTGGCAGAACTGAGAGTGGTCTCAGATGCCTACAGAAATGTGGCAGAAGTGAGAGGGGACCAGCTCAGCTTCCGTGCGGGAAGGGCACAAAGAGCCCCTAAACCACAGCAGCCCTCGAGTCTCTCCTGGAGCCTTTCAAGGAAAGCTGCTGCTGCCAGGACAAAAAGAGACAAAGGTCCTTTGGAGCTGGGGATGTGATGCTGCCCAAGCTTTGCTCCTGTCAGTCTCTGTGCCTGTGGGAAGCCTGCTGGTGTCCCAGCTGTGTGTGTCCTGCAGGCTGCAGAGAAGTGCAGGCTGCAGAGAAGTTCTCCGCTGGGGTGGTTCACCGGGGCTGGAGCACTTTTCTCCTTGCAGATCCCCATCGGTCAGGGGGGTTTGAGCAGGCTGTGAAAACACTGAAGCTCTTCAGCTCCCTGTGGGTAATGGGGTGGATGGACAGGCTTGTCCTGACAGTCCTGGAGTGGGAAACTCTGACAAAGCCTCCGGTGCCGCCTGTTGCCGTCGTCCTGAGCTGCTGCTGGGGCCACACTGCTCGAAGGAATGAATTTATTAGCTCAAGAGTGTAAACACACTGTATTTGTATATTAGTTTCTTTTGAAGTCATTGAAATCCTGCTTAAAAACTCTGCAGAAAGTTCTTTGGGTAACTTAGACTCGTTTATGCCTTCTGGCTGACAAAAGCATCTTTTAAAGAGCTCCGAGTGTTTTGTTGCTGTGCAGTCAGAGATGCCTGTGCAGGCTGTTTGGTGCCTGTTCTTGGCAATACTTCTACCTGAAATCCTGGTGCAGTCTCAGGCTACAATGTCACCTCAAGTGAGGCTTCAAAAGACCAGCACCAGGACTGATCTGGAATCACTGGAAGTACCAGTGGAAAGCTCAGAATTTACATCAGATATAATGTATTATGAGTGAGATTTATAACAGGATTACAGAAAGCAGTTGTTAAAGCTACTGGCAGTAAACAGGGATTAAAATATTTATCTAGCTGTAAAAATATGAATAATGGAGTATTTCATGTAGTTATGTAAAGGAGCTGTGTACTTTATACTGACAAAGAATGCACTCCTAATATCACTAATATTTTACAATGCCCATGTATCAAAATCCTTCCATGCCTCTCACTTCCCTCCCAAATCCTTGTGTATCTAATCAGTGCATGATATGGGATTTCCTCCAGCTGCAGGCATGCTCACAGGGATAGTGAGCAGCTCTTTGCCTTCCTGCCTCCCTGGGAGGGTGTGTGATGGGCAGCTGGCATAACAGTGTCTGCATTTTTATATTGCTCTTCCAACAGCTGCACCTCTTCTAATTTAGCTCTGTGTGACCAGTGTTATTGTACGGAAGGTCAGGTCTTTCTTTGGGGAAGTGGTTGAGATTTTAGCTGCTCTGGCATGTAATCAGTAAAACAATGAGTGAATGTAAAGCAAACACTTCACTGCCTCCACAAAAATGTATTGCTGGCCACGAGCAGCACAAGAGGTTTCACTTTTTGCTTTGTCCATCACCTCCTTGCCAGGAACAGCTTGCAGGAAGATGCACATCTGCAGTGGTGATTCCAGGTGTGCTGTGACATTTCACCCTGGACAAGTTGCAAGTTCTCCAGTTGTAACTCTGCAAAGCTGTGCTTAATCTGCCTGGACTAATGAAACCACCTGGTGGGAAAACATCAGCTTCATCTGAAGATCTGTGAAAAGCTGAAGCACAGAGCCTGGGGCCAGGCTCTCCACAGCTTCCAGTTGCCACCAGGACTCCCAAGCATCCTGTTCTTGATCTTCCAGGTGAGAAAAATATTGTTCATTCCTTGGTTAGGCCTAAGGAAGGAAAGCTCATTGGTTTGCTGTTTCTGCTTTTGGTCTCCAGTCAGTTTAAACGTTTAAAATATTCAGCAAAGAGGATTAAGCAGCACAGCTGGCCTTGCTGAATTCCCAGGTAATCGGGCATGCTGCACACCGAGTGTCTCCCACAGCTGCTTGTTGCCTAAGCTGTCTCTGCTGGCAGGAATAAATTCAGCCCTGGGGTGCTCCAGGAGATGGGATTGATGATGGCTTTGGGTGGCCATTCCTTCCCCTCCTGGCTCAGACCACCCCAGTATTCTCTGAGCTTTGTTGCTTTCTTTCTCTGCAACAGATTGCTCTCACTACACTGCGTCAACACAAATTACTTAGTCAATTTTGGATTTGAACTCCATCTTTTATGCATCACTTGTGAGTCTTATGTGAGCTGTGTTTTTGATTTTTGGTATGTGCAATGATTCATCCCCTCCTGACGCTCTGTGGGGCTGAAGTTTGCTCTTCCTCTCGAACAGTGCATCCCCAAGTGGAGTTTGAGCCTTTGTGAGCCAGCACAGAGCTCATAAAAAATGATAATTTAAAGAATATAAGCAGTGGCAATCAAAGGAAGTAAATACAGTATTAAAATAAGGCAAATTTGTGTGGTATTGGAAAACTGTTTTAGCTCACTAGCTAAAAATTGTGTAGCAGGACTCATGGAAGGGGATCTGTGAGTGCAGCAAGGGACAGACAGAGCAGCTGCTAAAGGATCACCAAAGGGTAAATAGGCATGAAACATTCTTATTTAAAAAATTGGGCTGCTAAAATGGGAAGGAACTCTTTCTATTGCAAAAGCCTTTCTGCTTTTTCTTCCAAGTAGGGGGAAAAATATAGGGAGGAGAAATGTGTTTATTCCATAGTTGTTTGTGAGGAAAGGAGCAGCAATCTTGGAGAGCACGTCCCAGGATGAACCTCCTTTCTGTCTGACAGCCACCTGCACATGCTGCTCAGAAGAGAAGTTGGGATTTTTCCCTGCAGTTTGCTGAGCTGGGACCCCGTGGCACAGGGACCCTCTGGGACAGGGACCCCGTGGGACAGGGACCCCGTGGGACAGGGACCCCGTGGGACAGGGACCCCGTGGGACAGGGACTCCATAGGACAGGGACTCCATAGGACAGGGACCTTGTGGGACAGGGACCCCATAGGCCAGGGACCCCGTGGGACAGGGACCCCGTGGGACAGGGACCCCGTGGGACAGCAGGAGGCTGCCAGCTGCTCCTCTGGCTGTGCCTGGAGCTGCTCTCCAGCCCCAAGGAGCGTGCACGGGGCTGGGCTGAGCTCTGCTCTGCTTTGCACCTTGGAGTGGAGCAGCTCCTCTCCCCAGGGCTTCTTCACGAGCCCCTTCACCGTGGGCAGGGCTGTATGAGGAAAGCTCTGAATAGCTGGGGCTAGAGAGGGAAGGTTTGGGTGCTTTTTAAAATTAGTTTTGTTTTTAACTCGGGCAGACCTTTCAGTTCAGTGCTGGTCTCTCCCAGCCAGGCCATGCAGAATGTCAGACATCAGAGCAGTCCTTCAGAGCTCGTGCTCTGTCCCTCTTGGAGCAGACTGGAGCACTCTGTTTATTCTGGCAAGCTTTTCCACCCAGAGGGAACTGCTTGGGGCACTGTGGGGGCAGATCACCAAAAGCCATTTTTCCTGGAAAGCAGAGCAGAGCATCCCCCATATCCTCCCATCTGATTCTTAAGGGGGAGTAGTTCCCCCTAGTGTAAATTGCAGTGTGTATCTGACCATGCTCCAGAGATCCCCAGCCAGCATCCAGAGGGAAAGTAGGATCCTGGGTAGGAGGGAACTCCAGCAGCGACAGGGGAATTGCCAGGAGGGATGTGGATGTCACAGAGCAGGGACATCAGCCCTGTGAGAAGAGTGTTCCTTCATCTCCAGGCTGGGACGGAGCCAGCCCCTCTCCGTGCCCTGCCATGAGCCCCATGGAGCGAGACACGGATGTCAGAAATGTCACCTGCTGCCACCAGGCCCAGCAGCGACTCGCAGTCCTGCTTGGCAAGGACAGACTGTGCTCTGCTTCCAAGCACTACTCTTTTATCTTTTTTTTTTAATATCTTCTAATTATGTTCTCTTTGGTATTGATCCTGTGCTCTTTTAGAAGCCAGACTCATGCTTTGCTCTAAGAAGCAGAAAGGAAAACATTTGGAGCCCGGGCTGCTCTGTGGTCCCCCAGCCATGTCTGCTGGGCTCGTTTGCTGGCTGACAGTTGGTTTGGGACTCCTGATTGCGTTTTTTAGGGATGTGATTTTACAGTGTGTCAGAATCTCATGTCTATCTCTTTTCCCTGCAAACCACTTGTGGACAGTTGGCCAAACAAAAGGTTTATGTTTAAAATTTATTTTTTTTTTAAGTGGTGAGATTCTGTTGCCAATTCTCCTGTCATTCTGTCCTATTTACTGCTTGGACTTGAAAAGCATAACGATTTTTGAAGGCTTTGTTTTTAAACTCTGCTCTTGCTTTTCCTTTGTGACTGCTTTGACAGACTCCTCTGATGTATATTTCAGTATAGGTTGATGTGAAGCTAATGAGAAGGCAGATGTTTATTTACAGAAATATGGGTTCCATTTGTAAAATTATTTCTTGGTAAGGAGAACATTGCTTTTCCAATTACCTTACATTCTAGAAGGGCTTTTTTATACATTTCTTTACAGCTTGGTCTTTAAATGGTATATTGCTACAGGCAAATAAAACTGCCAGTAAATCCAAACCCCACAACTTTAGCAATCATTCTAAAACACAGAAAGATTCAAATGTTATTTTAAGCCAAGAAACGGATGTACACATCATCCCTTTGTAGCTCCTGGCTGCTCCTGCTCTAGCTCTGCTGGGCTCATTGGGTCAGTCCCATGGAGAAATCTGCCCTTATGCTCCTGGACCCAGGCTCATGCAGAGAGCCAGTTGTGTTTTCCTGTTTGTGGAGCAGCAGAATCCCTTGAGGCTGTTTCCAGGGCTGAGCTCCTCTGTCCCACTGTATGGCTGCAAAGTGGGATCCTGCAAGACCCAACCACCTTCAGCCGCCAAGGACTGGTGACAGGATGTCAGAGCAAGATGACACTTTATCTCCAAATCTGCCCTTCTGCAGCTGTCCCGAGGCCCAGGATCCCTGTCGATAAAAGAAAAGGGGAAAAATAAGAATTCTTGGTAGCCAGTGTACCCTCTCAAAGAACTTACTGGCACAGCAGTTGGTGACACTTGGCTGTGTTCCTATACAAGACTAAATGAAATATGTTATTTCAGTTTTTGATTCACTTTGAATGAGTTTTATGCAGTCCCATTACCTTGTCTTCAGGGAACTGGTACCCAAGATTTTGCTTACTTGTTTACTTCTAGATTCAATTTTATCAGGCTTAGTCCCTTCCATGCTTTTGAGGAAAACTCCTTTTCTCTCTCTTTTATATAACATGAAAAACTATTTCCTTCTTTTACTAATTGTACATCCCAAGTTGTACCGTGTGGCTTTGGTGGGAGAGGAGTATTTGTAGCGGATCAGAACTGGAAATCTGACTTAGAAATGTGTGTGAATGTGTGTGAATGAGGATCCAGAGCAAAGCACCTGCAGGGCTGCAGGAGTGGAGCTGCAGCTCAGCTGCTGGCGCTGCATTCCGGGCAGGAGAGCGTGCTGCTGAGGCTGCAGCGTGCCAAAGAGCCTGCAGCCTGGCAGGAGAGCAGGAGAGCAGGGCTTTCTGCTTTGTCCCAGGCAGTCCCTGTGTCTGGGTGCTCAGCACGCTGCTGGGCAGCCTCGGCACCGCCTGTCAGGGTGCTGGCAGTGGCAGCAGCCTGGGATTGCCAGGTGCCAGCAGGGCTGGCACAGGCACGGCAGCACTGCAGCCCAGGGCACTTGGGCCACTTGAGGGATCTCGGCACTAAAGTGACACTTGCTGGGACTGAAGCAAGCAAACCCTTCACAACAGGCTTCCTATAAAGCCTGCGAGTTGTCCTGCTGAAACAAAGGGAGGATTCGGGTGCTTACACAAAAGTACCTGTGGTCCTGAAGGCTTAAATACCAATCCAGTGTAAGAATTCATTCCTAGTCCCATTGTGGAATGTTACTTTATGTAATTATGTAATTATCTGTGCTCAGGGTTTCTTTACCCACATAATCAGTGGCATTGTAATGGCAATGCAGTAGGTGCTCGTACTTAAACCATCAAAGCCCCCTTTCCTGCTTGTGTAAAGAGAGCTTTGAGATAGGCAGTAGGTGTGGTATGTATTTATTTATTTATTCTCTTGGAATACTTGCCATATTTATGTTATTTCTAAGTGGATCCAGGTTTTGGACCATAACCCTGAGAGGGTGGATGAGCAGGTAACTGTGAGGTCACTGTGTGCTGTGGGAGATGCTGCACTGGGTCTGTCCCTTACAGCCTCTTCCACATTTTCAGCTCAGCAATGTTGTTGCTTTAGGCTGTCATAATTTGATTAAACCCTGATTTGTCTGGAAAGGTGAGTCACCTGTAATCAGCACGTTAAATGAAAGACCTGTGCGATTTCCTACTGCAAAATAATCTCAAATTCAATAAAGGTTTAATTCCACATTTACAAGCCCTGCTGCTTTCAGCTCTCTAATCACTGTTTCCTGTCAAGCACGAAAGTCTTTTCATTTCCTGGAGTATGAACACAAACAACGGTGTGAGAGCTGCAGGCTGAGGGCTGAGCTGCTCTGTGTAGGACACTGCACATTCAGAGACCATCTCACTTCAGCAGGAAACCTAGGATTTTCATGTTTCCAGGACATTTTATGGAATAACACTGCTGGCAAGCATCTTATCAATCTGCTGATGTCCAGAAAGATTTGACCAGACAGTAGATGAAGTAAGTCAGCATCCACCAAGTTTCCAAACTCTGGTGGTCTGTGTTTAGTGGTTCCAGGAGGATTTAGCTTCTGGACAATCCTAGCCCTTAGGAAGCCCTGGGGAATGTGCTGCCATATCAAATCACGTGTCTCC